TCCCATACGACATCTTACTTCCTCTCACAAAATAGCTAAAATCCCACATTGAACTGGTGGAGGGCCAGTGAAAAAATATTTCTCCTTTAGGAGGTGCCCAATGAGAGACCAGGAGGTGTGGAGCCAAAAGAGAAAACATCACACCTCAGCAGGAGACCACACCACATCTGATCCAGGTATACTCTTTGCTCTTTTATGACCATATCACTAACATAAAAGGTGAAAAAACATGAAGGAATCCCAGAATATGTATGACTGACTAATGGGACTCCTGGGGGTCAGGAGGCTAGGGCATGACAGACTGTAGTGTTAGTTTGACCTCCTCCAACACCAGGTGGTATCTGGAATGGTACATCAGATCTGTGGTAGGTAGGGAATAACTTACCTTTTCACCTCGAAATGGGAATTTGTAGGGAAAAACGAGCTTCCCTACCAAAATCCATCTCCATTTGCATGCATTTCCAACACAACGAACACCAGATGTGCCACAAGACCCGGTGGGATGACATCTCCAGTACAAAACCTAGCAGCAATGGATATGGTACTTCCAGTCCATGGTAGGAGGAGGATACCCAGCTGTCCACAAGAGGAAAAATGTACTGCATCCAGCTACAACCAACACCAGATCCACTGGGAACTAACATCCAACAGATGGTAGGAAGAGGGACAATAAACCTGGGGTGCATCTCCAATCCAAAATCTGAAGGCAGTGGGCATTTTTCATCCAGTCCACAGTAGGAGGAGGGATACCAGCCAGTACACATGTGAAGACTTACATAACTGGACCATCTCTAACCAACACCTGACCCACTGGGAATGTACATCTGGAGGATGGTAAGTAAGAGGAATGTCTCAGCTTGAGGGGCAAACTGCAATCATAGATATATTGTCATTACATGGCAGAGTGATTCAACCCAAACCTGGTGGTATCTGTAATTGTACATCAGGTTCACAGCAGGAAGGGCATCACACCATTGACACATAGTTCTAATCATGATAGGGCCGTCTCCAACCAACACCAGACCTACTGGGAATGTACCTCCAGAGGATGGTAGGAAGAAGGAGCACCAAAGTAGGAAAAAGCAATTGGTCAGATATATAGACAGTAAAACAGCATAGTGCTAAAACCAAAACCAGACAGCATCTGGAATTGAACATCAGGTTCACAGTAGAAAATGCTCTACGCCATCAACACTTGCAGAATGCCACTGCCCTACTCTCATCTGAGCGATATGATTCATCATTCAGGAAGACAGGCCTCTATGATCCACCACCCCATGGCTAGGAACTGGTAATTAGTAAGGACTTCCATACTTCCACTAGAAGAAAGGAGGGAAAATGTATTCGGGAGTCCAGAGAACTGTATCACGAGAGACAGAGTAAAGGGTGAACTGTGATATTCTATTCTGAAAAGCAGAGCTACCACGTTGATGGAGTCATTCAACTAAAACCAGGCAGAATCTGGAATTGTACATCAGGTTCCCAGTAGAAAGAGTCTCAATGCCGTGGAGCATCAGAGACGGGCAGCAATCTCTGTCTGCTTTACTCATGTTAGTCCATGGATGTACAGTCTGGGATGAACATACTTATGGGGAAAATAACCACTAGTGGGAACTACTCGCAGTCCTACAGAACACTCCATCTCAAAGGTGTGCATAACACCAATCCTGCAATGTAATTGTTTAAGCATATATGACAACAGAATGGAGACACACAACCAACACCTGGTGGCATCTGGAATTATACATCAGGTCCACAGAAGGAAGAGCTACAACGTAATTGATATCGAGCATGGTCACAGAATGGACAGTTTGGATTTACAAAAAAAAAAGTATACCTGGTCAGGCACCATTTGTCACAGAGTGGGATCAACAATACATTTGTCAAAAAGGCCCCTGAAAAGTAAGAAAATTTGGAAAAAGCAACCTTTCACAATTCCTGAACATGAAAACTTAAATAAATAGTAAAAAAAAAATTAAGTCTGTAGTATAGAGGAAAATGTCAACAAATCCATGAGCAAAAACCAGCATGTCTGTATAGCACTACTGTGAATCGAGAAAATAATAACAAATATAAATGTAACAGGGTGCTGATTACGATAAGGGTTGTGTCATTCTCCTATTGGTGAATGGCTGCTGCATGATCATTTGCATATGGATATACAGAAGGGGGAGATGGAATGCTAGTGGCAAGCATGGAATATTTGTGCCAATAGAGAGCAGTAGTAATTGAGAAAATCTAATTTGTGTGATGAGGTAATTAAGAATTATGAATTACCTCTTTTGCCTAAAATAAATCATTTTACTTCTAAAAGTGAGGATAAAGTAAATAGATACAAACATACAGACCTATACCCTTGCCCACAATCACATTTTATAAAACTTATTAGTGTGACTTGAATGACTTTTTTATCTCAGATTTGCAATGATGCTACCAATAGTCTTTCCTTTGTTTGGACAGATGGCAAAACTTTCAACAGCAATTAGAGCAAATGTCTGTGGTGTTTGTAGTGTGATATGAATTGTTACTTCTTTCTGTGATTCCAAACTCATACCAAAGTTAAATGAGTTCCAAAAGGACAAGGTTATCTAGAGTGCAGTAGAGAACGCAATGTACAGAAAGGGAAGTAAGTATTCATGCAAAATGCACTGAACAAATATTTGTGGACAACTTGCCCAACAAAGAACAATGCAATGATGGCACATAAAGCTGCAGCAGGAAATCGAGCTTTACATATATATTTCATGTGTGTGTGTGGAGCAGCATTTTAAATGTTCGCCTACATCTAAGAATCATCCTTGACTGATCCTGGGTACACCTTAAGAAAAGCCACTATTGGTAATAATTTTATCCAATGTTAAAAGTTAATTTGTTATAGCTCCTAATTTTGTTGAATTGCATTTGTGTGGGATCTATAGAAAAATTTTAGTTCTTTAACTTACAATATTTTACATTTTTTATCACATTAACAATACATGCTTTGTTCCAAATTAAGGATCATGTTTGTGTTTGTTTGTTTTAGAGCAAAGCCACAATGGGTTATCTACTGCATTCATTACAGGGAATTAAACCCAGAATTTTGTAGACTTACTTTTGTCCCACCAGGGGTCATCAAATTAAGGAAGTCTTCTCATTTAGAATTTGTGTAAGCACAAAATACATCTGAAGTTTGTCATGTTTGAAAATTACTTCTATCCTGCTATATGTGTTAGTTATGCAGAATTACTGCATGTTTATGTTAAAATACATTAAGACAGATTTGTAACAAGTATAATCATTTACCATTTTCTTTAACAAGTCAGTCAATTGTTTTAGATAGATAAATTATTAAATATCTAAAATTACATTAGACAGTAAACTCAATGATGAATATTAACTATTGTTTAATTTTTTCAAATGAATAAAAATTCAAAGGAAGGAAAATATTTATCACAAATCAAAACTCCATAAATACTTAAAGCTTACCTGTTGTGTTACGGGTTTAAAAGAAAAAGTTTTCTGGTGATTAAAGTCCGGATTAATTGTACTAGTGACAATTTCTGAAACAGTGTCTTCTTCATCCAAGAACACACGATATTTACAACGAATATCCTGAAAAGGATCAAAGATACCATACAGAAAGTTGAATATAAATTATAAATTGAAGGTGTCAAGGGTACACTTCCAATGTTAATACAAGACTTCAAAAACATAAATTTAGATTTGGAATGACTTCATTGGTATATACATTTTATATGTAATATATACAAGAAAACACCTTAAAATATTGTTAAAAGCACTTTCTTTTGAATAAAGCACAAGTATGCCCTTACAATTTTTCAAAAACTAGCATTTCAGCTGTATTTGACAGATCTGGCCACATCTTACCTGGATCTGGCAATGTTTACTCCAAATATGAACTAAACCTTTCAGAACTGGCTATATTATTTCCATGTCTGGCAACACTGACTTGAGATCAGAACTTTAAACCTTCCAGAACTGGCCATATAAATAAGAAGTTTTAAGCAAAAGCAAAGCAGAGTGCATGTTTATTCTAAACCTGAAAGATACCTTCCAGATCTGGCAATAGCTTACTCAGGTCTGATAACATGGAATCCATATTTTTCCTTATCTACTTCTGACTGCCTAAATAGCACAACTGCCTATGTTTTTATGATTCATTGAAAAACAATCTTGTTCACCCTTAAAAAATTTCAAGTTTTATTCTAGTCTTGAATGTTAATCTGTTTTGCAATTGGGGCAATGCACTGACAGTCCCCTTATGTTGCGAGCTCCCCAAGTAATGCAAAAAAAAACTTGTAAAATTCTATAACTGTAGCTGATCAGTATGGACAGGCCCCCTAAGTAGTTTGAAATATTAAAAATGCATCTGGGAATTTGATATGTATGGACAGGATCTGATAGTAATCAGATATGAGCAGGATGCATCCAGATCTGAAACCATCAATGCATAAATGTGGTCAGGTTGGCCTAAAAATATTCAGAGATACATATACATTGTTGGATGTGACTAAACCTATCTAATATGTTAAACTTGTACACTGCAAAACAACTTCATTTATCACTTGGACTACTATTAACCCCTGTTTTAAACGTTTCTATCTCAAAATCAAATAGTCTGTTTATATGATACATTGTATGAGCAGATTTTCTGACATGCAGGTAAATACAAAATTGTAACAACATAACTAGGACTAACGTGAGTGAATCCTAATTTATACCTGCTATTGTATTGTTGGGATTTAAAATATATAGATACTTTACCTATGCTTTCTAAAATGCTTATCACTTCCCAAAGTATTAAACAAATATAGTTATTGAAGTTAAATGCACATAATATTTATAAAAATCTCATAATTATCAAAAATACCTTATTCATACTCTTACAATTGACAATCATTAATAAACTGTAAATACTGATACTTAATTTAATTTATTCAAATTTGTAACCTACTGTTCTGCTAATTACTTTGCACTTAAAAAAGACTATGATAATTCCACCAGTATTTAAAACATAATTAATTGAAAAATTTTAATTTCTTCAAAGCTGACTAAATGAGCAATTACTTTTTTGTCTTTGTTATAAAAACTTAATAATTACATATAGTTTATAGAACTTGAGAAGTTCTCAACAGCCACAGGTGAAGATATTGTTAGCAATAGAAAATATTGATAATTATTTTAATTAAATATATTCAAAAACAAGCAACGTCAACTACGAAAAGTTATTTATTTTAGGACTAATAATCAAACAATGACAGTGCAATCAGAGAAGTGATATTGCAATTTCAGGACACTCAAGATTATTGATTGTGAATACTGTGTAAAAAAGAAAGAACTGCTTGCAGTTGTATTCTTCAAGAAACACTATTTACACTATTTGTATTGTAGAAAGTTCACTGTTTAAGTGGACCATGCATTGCTGAAATGATTGATGAACCTCAAAATCTGGAATGAACGACAGCATGCTAGATGACAGCATTAAAGAAGTATGTTATTTAATTATTTAGTACCGTCCAGTCCCACAGTATGTATGTGCTCTATCCATTCATCATTCATCGAATATCCAGACTCTGGACACTATGTTGAGGTTGAAACTATTTCAGTCATAGTGACAACAAGTCATACAATAAGAGATTCCACTAGTAGATGGATGCCACAAATAATGCTTCAGGAGCCCTTGGTAGAGAAACCAAAGGATTCAAATCCAGCTTAGATTGGGGAATGTAACTGAATGCATTTGTACAAGCAATTATGAGTGCAGGAAAGTGTCCTGTACTATTGTTATAAGCTACCAACTAGAGGTTCTCAGCTGACGTAAAGCTGTAGTCTCCAGTGCTTGGGGATGTGGTATTATACAGACTTTGAATAACATAAATACTGAATAGCACCAAGATGTTACCCACATTTGTGTTAAAGTACAATGGTGGTTCTTCTGATTGTAATCAAGTTGACAAGTTCAGCACTGATCTTAGCACTGTGTGCACTACCCAAGTTAAAAGCCAGCCTAAACAGCTCCTACAGAAAATGGTTGGTTCTCCCATACAGAGAATAGCTCTGGACATTTTTTCTCTATTTCCAGAGACAGACTGAGATCACCTGTATATAATCATGGCCATTAAATACTTCATAAAGTGGCTGAAATGTATTATTTGGCTGATACATCAGCTCACTTGATGGCTATTGTACTGGCAGACTGAATAACCTAGTTTGGACCACTTGGAGAGATTTACATGGATCAGAAAGCTAACTATAACAGCCAGTTGTGTAACATGTTGGGTGTGGTGAACACATGCATTTTTGCTTTATCACTCTCAGGCTGATGGTTTAGTAGAGAAGATAATATGAACTGTCAAACATATGCTTGTTATGTTGATTAATCTTACTCAAACTGACTGGGATGAACACTTACTGTATGTCATGATGGTGTACACTTTCTTGTTTGGGTGAGAAGTCTTGATCCTTGTGGATGTGATGTATGTCACCACTCCCAGAACAAACTTCCAACAATGTCCAAAGTAATATGCTACATTAGTTAATGAATAAATGCATTTGCACATCAACAGCAAAGAAAGGCTGCTGTACAACAAAAGAGATGCTCTGAAGGAACAAATGTACCAAAGTGGAGAGTGGGTGTGGCTTTTGTACATGCAAACAGCATGAAGGAAACTCAGCTCTGGCTAGATAAGACTTCATCTTGTAGTCAGTCTATTGATGAATGAGTTGACTGTTGTTGAGAGGTGTGCAAAAAACACATAGTACACATTGAGCTAAGTCTGTATACCATCAATGAATCTCTAGTGAACTGACTTGAGCAGGAATCAGGGCAAGAGCATTGTTTTATCCCACTTTGAACCATAAGATGAGCATGAAAGAACTAAAAGTAATTATCTGGCCATTCAAGATGAATTAGATGAGGAAGTACCAAATTTAAAGGCGAGAGAAGCTCCAACAGTCAATCAAATTTTAACAATGGTCTCTTGATTGATGTGGCTGAGGTTGTTGTGACTCTTGGTTTCTCAACTGTCAGGAGGTTTTACAGGGTACAATTTTGCAATATATTGTATGATTACCACAAAAGTATTTAGAGTTAGGATGATTTGTTGGTTTTTAAATCAGCTGGACTGAAAATACTTTGCAGCCTTTACTTTCTAAGATGTTGAAAAGAGTTTCACTATAATATATCTATGGGATATCAGATGATAACTGCTCGACAAACACAATTTAGTATGGCTTGGGCCAGTAGATGTAATTTCTATTACATCACAATTGCACAACTGAAGTTGACAGCTAAAAGTTGATCTAGTTTATTGGCAGGGACTCTATGAAACGTATTGCATGATCTTCACTAGATCTCTCCTAGTACACCTCAAGAGCATATAACCTCTCTAAATGGAATGAGAAAAATGTTTTCTCTGAGTGCATATTGACATACTAGCAAAAGTTCCTGGCTTCACTCAGGGTATTAGGTTGATATATTTCTAGATGACTATGTCAATGTGTGCATTCTGAACCCATTTTAGCATAAAAGAATAACCTATATACTTTTCTTGCTAAGCAACATGACAAAAGTGATTGTTGGAATGCATTGTTACCAAAATGCACTGGCTTTCTACACATTAGAAGTTGTTATATAAGGAACCACTTCTTTTCTATGTGGTTTTTTGCTAGCTTGCTTCATTAAAATAATGTGTGCATGCTACTTATGTGCATGTCTGTCTGTACTTGTTTTTGG